TTATAGTTTAAACTGATGGACGAATTGTTGCAGGTCAACTGTCCTGCTTCAACTTCTACCGCATTAAAACGACATCCTACTGAATTGAACTACATTTCCCGTCAGGCCCAGGCTGCCAGCGGAGCCCCACTGAGGCGCCTGATCCCCGGGTTAAAGCTCTCCCTCCTCGCCGCTCCTCACCATCGTCTCCCGGCTCTCCGTCTGCGCTCTGTCCGGGAGAGGCGGCTCCTCCCCGGCCCCGCTCCCCGAGCAGCCGGGCCTGGAGGCCGGACGGTCCTCCAGCAGCCTCCGCAGCTCCGCCACCGCGGCGTGGACCAGAGACTCCATGACGGCGGCCAGCTGCGTGTGCAGCCCCGCGGAGGAGCTCATCCTGCGGCCAGAGCCGCCGCTGGAGCCGGGCTGACGGCTGAAGCTGAGCGCCTGGAGCTCCGCGAGGTTTCACCGGGTCAACACGTAAACCCAGACCGCGGAGAGAAGTGCCGAGTCCGGTTCGACAATAACACACCAGAGGAAGGTGTAACCGCTCACTGCTCCGGAGGGAACCAGAGTCCGGGTCAAACACGACAAACGTTCCGCTTCTTGTGCTCCTCGCCTCCCTGAGCAGGAAGAGGAGCAACGTGTGTGTTTACCTCAAATACCAAACGCTTTGCTGTTGTTCACTTTTACCAGCTCTCTGACCTGTACTGGTTTTATGAACTAAACCTGTGGGAACTACAGCAGGGAGCTGTTTTCTGTCCGGACGTCCTCAGGAGAGGACCGGGGGGCGGAGCCTGTCCCTGGGGGCGGAGCCTGTCCCGGCAGGCCGAGGGGTCAAAGGTCAAATCTACCAGTAGGCAGGCTGACGTCAGTCTGCTGCTTCACAGTGAGGCAGGAGAACAACCACCTCCCAGATGTTTATCAAGGAAATACCTCCCAAATGCTCACAGAGGTCATCAAGATCAGAAAACATCCAAGAAATGTAGACAAAATGTAAAATCAGAAAAATTCACTAAATGTTCCAAAGTATTCCTGAAATATCTGAAATAAACAAAACGGCCACAAACAGCTAAATTGATCCAAAAGTTTTTTGAAATGTGAGAAGAAAATCAATAAAAACCCCCAAAATCAAGTATCTCCCCCAAAATAAAACGATCAAATGTTTTATTAAAACCCACAAAATGCCATCAAGTGTCAGTGAGGTGTCTGTAGATTTGAGGTATAGGTTAAAAAAACTGAAAAGTATTAGAAAATGTCCAAAAATCTGAATGAAATGGCCTCTACACATGCTGACCCACAAATATCGTTACACATGTCCAGTAGCTCCAGCTGCTGCTTCAGCATCAGCCATCAGTGAACAGACCGATGCTTCTACAGGGGACTTCTGAACTGAGGGCGGGATTCACTGATTTCTTCTTGATAGAATTTATTTTTTCAATTCTTGGAAAATGGTGGACCAATCAGAGCTCAGACATGCTGGAGTGGGCGGAGCCTCTGGTCCAGCAAATAGACCCAAACCTGCCTGTTTTCTGCTGGAGTTCTGCCGGCTGGACTCGGACAGCTCGTCAGCACTTCAGCTGTTGTGTGTTCATATTCATACATTAATGTCATCTTGTGGTGTTTACAGTTAATCTTTCATTTTTACAGCACGTTTTGGTTTTTAACAGCTGGATCGTTGCCCTTTTGTTGTGGTTTTTGGAGTTTCTTCTCCAGTGTGTTACAGAACCTTATTATTGCTGATGTCCATCCACTGATTGCTGCCAGCAGATCCACAGGAAACGTTATCAGACTAAAGTTTACATCTGTTCACATGAGATGGTAATAAAAAGACATAGATTCCAAATGATGGTCGGCTGGGTTCAGGGTTTTGATCTGGTGACTTCTCATCAGTCCAACCTGGCACCCCGGCTGGGTGCAGGTCCCTCAGGCTGCATGTGGCCACTGTGAGGCCGGACAGCATGTAGGACAGCACGAAACAAGAACAAATATGAGCATAAAAGGAAAATGAAGCTAGTTTGGGACATCAAAGCCCTGCAGAGAGTCACGTTGATCCCCAACAAGCTCTGGATGGTTGAGGTTTTACTTGTCAGAAGGTTTTTCTTAAAGGCTCCTGTTTGTGTTCAGGACTTGAGCAGATTGAAGTCTGGACAGGATGCTGAGCTTCTATGTCAGCTTCCTGGAGATGCTACCATCTCATTGGTCCGAGGAGGCCGCACACTCCCTGACCAGCACCCATCGCTCCAGGGCCGAGTGGAGCTGAAGGATCCCAACATGAAGGACGGAGATGCTTCTGTGTTCCTGAAGAACATCAGCACCAATGACTCCAGAACACACGAGTGTTGCTTTAACACGGACAAACCCATCGGAAAAGCACCTGAGTGCATCACCAGCATTGAGCTGAGTGTCAACAGCTCAGGTGAGTTCACAGCCAAGAAGACTCTGCTGAGATGGTGGAGATAAAGACTCACATCTGCTTCTGCTTCACAGGTCAGGGTGAAGGAACCAAGGATGGATCTGACCGAACAGCCAAAGTGTTCAGTGTTCTGGTCTGAGCTGTTGAACGGATCAGCTGATGTACGACAAGAAGACCTCAGACCTCTGAACACACTTTGGTCGATGACTTCTGTCATTTTAGATGACAATAGATTCACTTTGTGTTTCTCTGCTTGAATAAAAAACACAAAGACAAGTGTTGTGTTGCTCTGACTGGATCCAGGCAGAACCACCTGTGAGCTCATTCATAGTTTTCTTTGTAAAGTCAGTGATTCTACACATCCATCCATCATCTCTACACCTTCATCCTCACTAGGGTCATGGGGGGCGGAGCCTATCCCAGCTGACTCAGGGTGAAGGCAGGTTCACCTGGACACCCCCCGAATCATTTCTATTTCTAGAAGGCAAAAACTTCCAAGACTGACATTTGAACTGACTCGCCCGT